GAGCCAGGGAAGGAGTCTTCCTTGCAACGAGATGGAAGAAGCCGTCACGTCTTGCTTTGTCCCCATCCCATAACCCTTCCCCCCCCTCCCGCCTTGACCACCACTTGGTGGAACGATGCTCTCCAGCGGCCTGCAAGCCTCTGTCAGTTACCACGGCAACAGCAGCTGCAGGGGCTTGCTCGGGATTTCCAGCTCTTCCCAAGAAGCACTGAATATGAGGATGAAGCCGAGGACTGTCTACAAGCCAGAAGCCCAAAGCCAAATGAAAGATCAAAGATGACAAACACCCAGACAAGGGTACCTCTGGGCATGTGTTGAGAGCATCTTATCAACCTAAGTCATCTCACTACTCAAGCCAGGGGTGCCCGTGGCATTGCTCCATCCATCTCAAAAATGATGTGATAAGGGTGCATGTGTGTGTGGGGCAAATTGATCAGGAAATATTTAATTGTAAATTGATTATAAGCTGCAAAAGAACATCAACGTTCATGGGGTCGGTGTGTGTGGCGTGGGGAGCCCATTGTGAGCCCCACTGAATTCACTGGGGCTTTCTCCCTCGGGAGCACACAGCGTTGCTGTTTTAAACCAACATCTGTTTTTACACTGCAGAAGGCATGATTGTAAAGTCCAGCGTGGCATGGTGCTGCTCAAAATTTTTAGAGACTGTCTTCCTGAAAAATACGGGTGAAGGAGGAGATGAAAATGCTGCAGGGACTGCTTATAGAAGCAGAACCATTCAACATGGAAAAGAACAGCTTTTTCGCTGGCAGGATTAGTCAAAACAGGAACAGCCAGGAAACTGTACATTCCATTGCTAAGAAAACACCATCCAGCAAGGGGGTATAGCTCAGTGGTAGAGCATTTGACTGCAGATCAAGAGGTCCCTGGTTCAAATCCAGGTGCCCCCTGTTTTTTTTCCTCCTCCAAAAAAAATTATCTAGAGGAAGCTTTCTTGTTTTTCCCCAAAGAATAAAAAAGCCCGAGATTAGAAACAGTGGATTAGCTGTGAGGCTAAAGAGAATTATACAACATCCAAGAGGGAGGAGAGAATGATAAGGCTGAATGTCTGTTGACGAGAAGGTTGGAAGTCATTGTATTTCATTGCTTTCAATTTTTTTTTCTTTTCCTGCACCTTTTTTTTTCTTTGCCTTTCTTTTTAGATTTGTCTTTGACTTTAGGTCAGGTTCTTCAAAAAAAATATATAAGTAAAGAAAGAACAAAAAAGCAAAGGACACATTGATGAACACACCTCTAAAAGCAGACAGCTGCAAGCGACTTTCACAATTGCGCCCTTGGCACCGGGCAACAGAAATTCTTCTAACATAAAAAGATTCCCATTTGCTAATATTTGCCTGGTCAAGGGCTGTCCCAGACCATGCAGACAGTCCTTGATTTACAAGAGTTCAGTTAGCAAGTTACAAGGGTGGTGGAAAAAAGTGACTTATAACTGCTTTTTACACCTATGACCACTGCAACATCCCCATGGTCATGTGATCAAATTCAGACGTTTGGCAACTGATTCATATTTATGACGGTTGCAGTGTCCCGGGGTCCTGTGGTCCCCTTTTTGTTACCGTCTGCCAAGCCAGATTCATTTCACAAGCGTGTCACTCACCTAACAGCTGCGGTCATCCACTTAACAACTGGGGCAAGAAAAGTCCTAAAATGGGGCAAAACTCACTTTTAAAAACTCACTCTCTACTTTTAATCTAGCAATTTAGGCGCAAAATAGCCAGAGCTGCTTTTCCTTTCATCTATGTCAAAATGATTTGCTCAATAAAGTTTTGCATTAGAGATTGGATCGTCTCTGCTATGCTAGCTTCGTTGGGTTTGTCAATCGGAACCTTGACACTCTTACTTAATGATAGAAATCTTGGTCATAAGTCAAAGACTACCTGTATCTAGACAAATCTAGACAGCATACTAAAAAGCAGAGACATCACCCTGCCAACAAAAGTGCGTATAGTCCAGGCCATGGTTTTCCCAGTTGCAATGTATGGCTGTGAAAGCTGAACCATAAGAAAGGCTGAGCGCAAAAGAATTGAGGCCTTTGAACTATGGTGCTGGAGAAGACTCGTGCGAGTCCCCTGGACTGCAAGGCATTCAAACCGGTCAGTCCTAGAAGAGATCAACCCCGACTGCTCTTTAGAAGGCCAGATCCTGAAGTTGAAACTCAAATACTTTGGCCACCTAATGAGACGGAAGGACTCACTGGAGAAGGGCCTAATGCTGGGAAAGATTGAGGGCAATAGAAGAAGGGGACGACAGAGAATGAGATGGCTGGATGGAGTCACTGAAGCAGTAGGTGAGAACTTAAATGGACTCCAGAAGATGGTAGAGGACAGGAAGACCTGGAGGAACGTTGTCCATGGGGTCGCGATGGGTCGGACACGACTTCGCAACTAACAACAACAACCTGTATAGGCATGAGTTTATAATATTGGAAAATCAAGCATGCCTAGAAAATATGCAGAGGTTGAATGTCTGCCTGGCGCACAGCTGCAGAAACTTAGGAAATCTGGGAAGGGTGAAATTCCAGCCTTCACCTCACCACCCTTGTAGAAAATGTCATAAAACCCACATCCGTTAGTGAGCAGCAGTTAAGTGAGCAGATAAGTGAGGAATCCTTTTAAAAGCAGCGCTGTTGCTTAAATGCTCTGGTTCACACATTGTGCCGGTTATAACTTAATCTGTAATGTAGTTTGTGAACTAAATGTGGCTAACTTACCATGCTAGGAGACGACAATGAAAATTGTGTGGTCAGAAGACCACAACTGAGCATGTACACATGCACACGGACACACGGACACAGATACAAGCCATGCGCGCAGTCTGCAGAAATATTTTCCCCAACTTTTTTTGGGGGGGGGGAGAGGAAACTTTGCTAAACCATATAACAAAGTTTGTTTTTTTGACATTTTCTTCTTTCAAGATGGTAGAAAAACTCTGCCACCAAATTTCACCAATCGTGACCAGAAGCAGCTTTATAGGAAGCATTGGAATTGGCAGTGCAGAGGTGAACCGTCAATGGTGCTTTACTCAACCATGGTTAAACCAACCAGGGTTTAGCCCAATAGGCAGATCCAGACACTAGCAAAAGCTCACCTGTTTTCATTTGCAGCTTCTTTGGAGGACGGCACCCTCCTGTGTCCTTCAGCCTTTCTTTCAACTTTGCGGTCACTACATCTGAAAACTTCCTGTTTATGACCGGATTACAACAGGTTTTTTTTTAAAAAAAATAATAATAGAGGAAGCAAAGCAGGCACTTATCAACGAACAGCCTAGTTTAGGCCATACTTTGAGAGTGTCTAATGCTTCCCTACAGGTGGGAGCAATCAGCATTAGGCTGAAGTCCCAGCTGGTAACTTTGTGCAAATCAAATATTTCAAAGCAACAAGAACCACTTTGCATGGTTTTTTTTTTTTTTTTTTGGTAGTGCAATATCTGGAGTGGAAACCTTTCTCCTTAACATGCCAGAAGGAAGAAAATAGTTGCCATTAACAGAGGCTCTAAGGAAGCTTTTAATTAATCTTAATATTGCTGGTGTGTAGTAGACCATCTATAAAGACTTAAGTCAGAAACTAAGAATAGTTTTCAAGTTGATTTTGACTCGTGTTTGTCAACTTTGGCAACGTTAAGATGTGTGGACTTCAACTCCCAGAATTAGACAACATTTTCATAGACAATATTTTATGGATCAGCAATTTCTATCCTGCGCTGTCAGGTCTGGGGCCCTGGGATATAATCAGAGTAATATCATTCTATGGAGATTCACAGTCGTCCAGACTCTAGAGCTGAAGAAGCTTCTGGGATGAGAAGCGAAACGCCTTCAAAGAAAAACAAGGAGGTCCAGTTGCCTCTTGAAAAAGGATCTTTTGAGATCACCAGAGTAATGTAGGCAGGCAGAGTCTATAGTGAAGATTTAAGCAAAAACTCCAGCGTGATTGGCAAAATATAACGATTGGCTTTGCCCAAAGGGCTTGTGAAAAACCTGGTTGGTCATTTAACAGAATTGGAAAGGGACCTTGGAGGTCTTCTAGTCCAACCCCCTGCTCAAGTGGGAAACCCTCTTCCAGGGGTCCCCAACCTCTGGGTGGCAGATCGCCAGAAACTGAGCCACACACAAGCAAGTGAAGCCTCATCCATGCAGGGGTGGGATGCAGGCAATGTGCAAAATCACACACACATACACCCCGGTCCACAGAAAAATCACTCTCCATTTAACCAGTCCCTTGTGCCCAAAAGATTAGTTCTGGGTTTCTTCTCCACTTGATTAGTTTGCATCTGTTGCTTCTTGTCCTGCCTTCAAATACTTTGGGGCATAGGTTGACCCCCCCTTCTTTGTGGCAGCCCCTCAAATATTGGAACACTGCTTCATGTTACCCCCTGGTGCTTCTCTTCGCTGGACTAGACGTACCCAGTTCATTATGTAGTCCCCCAATCATCTTTGTTGCTCTTCTCTGCATTCTTTCTAGCGTCTGAACATCTTTTTTTTTTCCTAATTTGTGAGTGTTTGTATTATCCTAGCCAAGCCAGTGAGGTCAGTTCAAACTCAGATTAGTTTAGTAAATCTTGGCTACAGGAAAGCATGCTGGGAATCTCAGCTAGTATTTTAAAACACTCTTGATTCATTCCACCAACATCAAACCTCCTGACTGGTTGACCCTCATTTAGTGTCGTGGATGGTGAAATGTAGAATATAGAATAATAAGGCTGGAAGAGGCCTTGGAGGTCTTCTAGTCCAACCCCTGCTCAAGATAGGAGACTTTATACAATTCCGGTCAAATGGTTGTCCAGTCTGTTCTTGAAGACCTCCAGTGATGGAGCACTCACAACTCCAGGAGGCAACTGTTCCATTGATGAATACTTGTCTCAGTGTAGCTCCCATCCATTCAATAGTTCGCCATGACTTTTCTAAAAACGAACCCCATCCTGGATTCAATTCCCCCCAGAGGCTGTTCAAGAGGAAAGGAAACTCCATGCTTGACCTCCAATGAAAGTATTTGTGATGCTAATTTATTTACTTTTTTTTTTTTCCAGAAATGCAAGGCTTTTCTCCCATTATAGGAGGAAGGCTGGATCTTGGCAGGCTCACGGTGCTGAGCTAAGAGGATTTGAAGTCAGGGTGCTTGGTTTTCAATCTGGTAGATGCTTTCACAGGTCAGGAAGTCAAAAAGCCAACAGAGAAGCTCCTCAGCCTGAGTGTAAAAAAAGCGAACAAGTGGTTAAAGGGAAAATTAGGAAGGCTGAAATCTCCATTCAGTTAAGCCACAAGTGGCTGTTTCGTCTTAGCAACACATGTCGTTTGAATCTCGTGGGTGTCTAGGTTCAAACGGCACACTAAGCCACAATTTGTTCAATCTTGCTGCATCAAAAAGCTGCAGACATCCATGTTGAGACTACAGCGATTGGGTTTGTACAACACACGAAGCCAAACAACAACAAAAATGAGCCAATTTGTGTGAACTTGATGTCATAGGTTTGTCACTGACTGATTGTCAAAGGACAGGCATCGGTGATTTACGCCTGTGGTTTAGCTGTTCACGTGAACCCCAGTGATGCTGAACAACAAGCATCTTCTGTTTATATCGGTTTCACTTCAGGGACCTGCTCATCTCTTATTGTGGTGGGAAGATTTTCGATTCCAGGAAAGAAAGTAGGCTACAATCTAGATGGCGACCTCCATCGTCTTCTAGATGCTTTGAGACTCAGACATCAAAGAAATCCAGCTAACCTGATCTAATCAATTTGTTCGGGAAAGGAAAAAATATATATCCTTCCTCAGTTGTGTGGATGATCCATAAAGACTAAAGATCCATCAACGAAAGATGAAGTCTCCTTTGTGTTAAAATCTGACCAATGTTTCTCAACCGTCACAATTTTAAGACGCATGGAAGCCAATTCTCACAATTCTAGGAGTTGAAGTCAACTCCAAGGTTGGGAAACACTGATCTTTGACTCGTAATGATTTCATAGGCCTGTCTAGATAATTTTCTGGGCATCGGTATGGGGATTAATACAGTAAGGCCTAAGTTGTTTGCATATCCTGCGAACAAAGTCAAATTTCATGCCTTTCAGAGCATGAAAAAAGAGGCCTCAAAGAAAGCTGGACCTTTTTCCCAAGTTGAGAAGGATTATGGGCTGGTGAGAAATCGGTCAAAAACAGTGATAGTAGAGTTGGGTTCACACAACATGCTAAAACCTAAATCTGTCTTAAGAAAAGACACTTTCACATGCTTGTGAAAGATACTATCTCCAAAAATAGGCACTGTGTTGGGACTTGATGGGGTGGTTAGATTCACACCACCTCTAAGGTAGTGGCTGGATTTCCAATGGGATGTTGAACAACCAGCTAACCAACTCTATTTTAGTCCAGACTAGCACATTGGGCGAGTCCAACCTTATAGAACTAGCAAAGTAGTTATAGAGCCTTGGGTATTTAAAAAAAATGTGGGTTTCTCCTCCCCCCCCCCCAAATCAACTTTCTTACATAGTAAAAATGAGGAAAAGAAGATTTTAGGGGTATGGCTGTACTTTTTGCAGAGAAAGGGGATGGATTTCTGGGTGTTTGTCCTTCAGATTAAACACGAGGAGCAAAGTACAATGAAAAATGTTGGCAGTGGCCATCAATAAGAGGAGTGATGTAATATTGCAATATGACAAAACATCCAAATGATTGAACTTGCCTGTTTCTCAGTCTTTGGATAAAGAAGGCGAGGGATGATGTTCTCCAGACCAGCCTGTTTCTGACCACTACTGCTGGGGGGGGGAAGAGGGGGGGTAAGGAGGTGAAAAGAGGGAGAAACACTCGTAAATGAGCTACAGCCGAAACACTTGTAAATGAGCTACAGTCAGAAAGCAGAGAATCACTGCTGGTGGTTCTGGCCTGGCTGCCCACATCTGCTACTGCTGCAAGGCTTGCTTCTACCGTTACAATCTTGGTTTGGCCTAATTTGAGAACTGAAAGATCTGATCCTTCCAACTTCTGTAAGGCCTCCTTGGGGTGGAGGTCGCTTGGGGTGGAGGTCGCTTGGACAGCCCTCTAATATATAGCAACGTGTCAAGTTCCCGAAACCAAGAAAGACACATCGAGTCATAAAAGAGCCAAGGTTGCCTACCCCTGCCCTATACCATTTCAGACAAATGGCTCTCCAGTCTCTTCTTAAAAGCCTCCAGTGATGGAGCAGCCACAACATCTGGAGGCAAGCTGTTCCACGGGTTAATTGTCCTCACTATTAGGAAATTTCTCCTGCGTTCTAGGTTGTTTCTCTCCCTGATTAGTTTCCATCCGTTGGTTCTTGTCCTGCTGTCAGGTGCTTTGGAGAACAGGATGACTCCCTCAGGAAAAAAATAAATAAATTCTGCTGCCTGATTTGAGAAATAGCAATTGCAGAAAGATGAGAGAGGAACAGTAGAGCAGCAAGGTGGGGACACCACTACGGACTCATCCTGGACTTCGTTCTCAGTTCTCATTCGTTTTGGCAACGAGAATTCGCTTTAGAAAGGACTTTTAGAAGAGGATGGATCCAGCCTGGCCTTTGACAGGAAGATTTTGACTGCAAACCCCAAGTGTCATTTTTGCTTTAAGGAAGCGACTGATTGAGGCTGAGCCAAGGGCTGTTCAGTGGGAGTTCATCCCTCCCTTGTTTGAAATCCCCATAGCTACGCAACCAACACGGTCAACGCTGTACCTGGGAGGCTTCCTCTCTGTGTCCTTGAAAGAGGCTTTTATTGTGTAGGTGTTACATCTCTTCTCAAGATACAATGGTTTGGAGACGAGAGCCTTTGTTGGAATTTAGGCTTGCTAAGGGAGTAGATGAAGAAGAGAGAGAAGGGCTTCAAATGTTTGGGAGAGAAACTGGATAGCTAGGATTGGAATGGCCTTCTTTTCAAAGGCGGTTAATTCACTGCCGGAGGTATCCCGCTGATGCTGACATCCACGGGGAATTGAAGGAACAGCAGGACTTGATTGATCGAGCTGCTTGAGGAGGCTAGCACCACGCTGGATATAGCTTAGATGTTAGGTGTTTCCTTTGAGCTGCCCAGCCTATACTAAGACCACACCTGGAATACTGCAGCCAGTTTTGGTCACCTTATCACAAAAAAGAGGTTGAGAGTTTGGAAAAAAATTTAGAGAAGAGCAACTAAGATGAGATTAAAACATACAAAGAACGGCGGTGGGACTTGGGTTTGGCCAGTCTAAAGAAAAGAAAAATAGGGGAGACATGATAGCAGCATTCCAGTATCTGAGGGGCTGCCACAAGGCAGAGGGGGTCACGTTGTTCACCAAAGCACCAGAGGGAAAGACAGGAAACAACGGTTGGAAACTGATAAGGAGAGAAGCAACCTGGAATTAAGGAGAAACTTCCCAACAGTGAGGACAATCAACCAGTGGAACAGCTTGCCACCAGAAATCATGGGCACTCCATCACTGGAGATTTTTAAGAAGAGGCTGAACATTCACCTGTCTGAGATGGTATAGGTTCGCCTGCTTGAGCAGGGGGCTGGACTAGAAGACCTCCAAGGTCCCTTCCAACTTTGTTATTCTATTCTATTCTATTCTATTCTATTCTATTCTATTCTATTCTATTCTATTCTATTCTATTCTATTCTATTCATTCCTATTCTATTCTATTCCTATCCTTATTCTATTCCTATTCCTATTCTATTCTACTCTATTCTATTCATTCCTATTTCTATTCTATTCTATCCTATCCTATCCTATCCTATCCTATCCTATTCTATTCTATTCCTGTTCTGTTCCATTCCATTCTGCATTCTATTCTATTCTATTCTATTCTATTCTATTCTATTCTATTCTATTCTATTCTATTCTATTCTATTCTATTCTATTCTATATTACAATATCTATTCTATTCTATTCTATTCTATTCTATTCTATTCTATTCTATTCTATTCTATTCTATTCTATTCTATTCTATATCTGCCTTGGTGCAAAGAGGTGGATACTCGGAAGAAAGGTGCCTGGGGATAAATCTGAAGGAAATACAGGTGGTCCTCGACTTACGGCTGCAGTTAAGTCATGCTGGTTGGTAACTGGGTGGTCAACCTGATTTTACGCCATTTTTGTGAATCCAGAGTAGCCAAAGGGCATTGACGACACCTCATCTGTCTTACTTACCAGCTTAGCAAGGTGGTGAAGGAAACCACCGCATTGTCCCGTTCGGCTGCAAGCACCAAGCAGGAGCCTTTGAGAAGCTGAGAGCACTGCGGGAGAAGGGAGAACATAAGGCCTCTTGAACACTGCAAAAATCGACTTGCAAATCAATAAAAGAGAATATTTATAGCTCAGGGTTAAAATGAGGGGTCCTCGGTGCTCTCTGAGCTTGGTGGTTCTCTTGCAGACGTTTCATTACCCAAACTGGATCACATCATCAGCGCACTAATGAAGTTGCCTCGTTTGGGTAACGAAACATCTGTAAGGGGAAAAACAAAAAAGCTCAGACAGCACCAAAGGACCCCTGTTTGCAACAAAGGGGCCTAAACCGAATAAAGGATTCCAGACAGCCTCTTCTTGCTTCAGGCAGGGCTGGAGGAGAGCTTGCCAGGCCCCCTCTCTGTGTGCGGGACCCCCTCTTTGCAAGAAGGGGGGAGTTTTCTCCCCAGACAGAATTGCCCGGTTAAATCCCCACTTGTGTTTTGCCTGCAGATTTCCGCCTGGGTGGCCTTGGATGGTTGTGGCAGGGGAGCGTGCAACCGGTGCTGCATCTACTTGCCTGGTGCGCATCAGTGCTCCGCTCCACAGGTGCACCTTTAAGCAGCTGCCACTGGTGAAACCTGACACTCTTAAAGATAACTCACTGTCATCTCGATGGGGAAATTTCTATCTGGAAAGAACTGGCTCAAATCCAAATTATATTCAGCAGCTGTCTGACGAGCTGAACGGGGTTAGGGCGGACGCATATAAGCACAGTAGTCCTCAGGTTATGACCACAATCGCGTCCTAAATCTCCACTGCTAAACAAGATTAAGTGGTTGAGTGACCTTTGCTGCATTTTACGACCCTTTCTTGCTGCGGTTGCTAGGCGAATCACTGCAACTGCTAGGTAAATCCGGCTTTCCACCCCCCCCGCCTTTGCTTGTCAGAAGCTCGCTGGGAAGGTTACAGTGGTGATCACAGGACTCCAAGACAATGCAACTGTCACAAATACAGATAGTCCTTGACCACAATTGAGCCCACAATTTCTGTTGCTGAGTGACACTGCAGCCGTCACAAGTATGAACCAGTTGTTAAGCGTCTGTGATGACCCAGGGCATAGCACAGAGGCAATGCAGTCAGCTGTCCTTTAATTGCTCCAAGTTTTCCCCAAATGCTCCCACGTTTCTGGCAAGCCTCAAAACAAAGGAAGACACACACACCTTCAGCCACCTCTGGCTGCAAGTAGTTTCACACACAGTCTGATTAGGAGAGGAATTTACTCAAGGCCACGGAGATAACAAGGAATGACACATACATCCAAACAACGTTGTCAGCCAGTCCAATGGTCAGGGTTTCCGGGTTTCCAAGCAGAAATCACAACACAGAACAAGAGATCAGCAACAAGACACACAAAACTCCAAGGAATCAGCGTTTGTTCCCGACAAATGCCTCTCCCCACAGCATCTCCTTAAATCTCAGTCTCCATGTATACCTTGTGGAAAGGGGTGGAATGCTCTCCTCCTGAGTAGTTGAGCCTGCCTGCGTTGTTCCCTCCTTCTCTCCACTCTCCATGCTCTAGGATCAGGAGGGGGTGGCCCTTGTTCATCGCCTGAGCTCTGTCTCTCCTGTTCCTCCTATCCCACTCCTGAAGGGCCCTGGCCTGCCTCGGCCTGCTCTTCCCCACATCCCTCTGAAGCCACTGACACCTCTCCCTCGACCTCCATAGGGTCTCGTTCCAGCTCATTTTCCTCCGCAGATTCAGGCTCCGAAGGAGGCATGACAGCGTCTGAATTTTGATCACGTAACCATTAGGGATGCTGCAATGGTCGTACGTGTGAACAGTGGTCATAAGTCCCTTTTTCAGTGCTGTTGTAAGTTCGAACAGTCACTAAATGGTGTTAGGTCGAGGACTAGCTATAGTGAGTCAAACCTTGAGCTCAGTTTTACCCATAGGAGCCCGTGGGGTTTGACCCTTTCCTCTCCTGCGTGCCCCCCACATTCTCCAGCGCTGAGCACTGTCCCTGCGGCCGTCCTTCTGGGCTGGGGCTGGTAGCGCTGGGGAACCCGGCCAGCCGGCTTCTCAGAAGCTCCTGACTAAGAGTGGTGGAGAGTCAGAAGGTTAATCTGGGCAGACTTTCTATCAAGCCAGCAAAAGAGCATTTTATAGCTGCCGTAATGTATCCTTGGTACTGGCGGGATCATTTGCTTTCCGGGCATCTCTCCAGGCTTTGCGGTGGCCATACAGAAGGCGGCTGGTTTCATTACTGCCGACGATCTGAGAAAGAAAGCGTAGCGCCCGACGTCCCTCATCCATCCTCTGCTGGCCTCCAGCTCTGCTGGCCTCCAGCCGATCGTTTCCCGTTGCTGACAGAAGGGCTGTGTATTTATGGCTTTCTCGGTTCCGTGCACGGAGGCCGTAAGGAAGCCGCTCTCCTCAGGTGGCCCCGGAGCAGAGGCGTCCACACGATATGGTCACAAAAGTTGACCATAACGAGGTGATTGAAGCTTCAACTGTATTTTATGGGTGGCTTGATTGCACCGGTGTGGTTCCTGCATTCCTGCATTTCTCACCATATCCTCTGGAAGGCTTCCTGCCTCAGAGGCTTCTGAGACTGATGAGTATTTGCCCAGGAAGGAACAGGTGGTAGGAGAGCCCAGGTATACAGCGATAGGATAAGTAGTAGAGCCCAAGGCCAGTCATCAAGATCTGGTTGGATTGCAGGTGGAGAGAGAGAGCCATGGAGACAGCCTTGAGGGAAACGCTCAGAAAAACACAAAGAGCAGAAGCCCTGGGAAAGGATAATAGCCTTAGGAAGAGACTCGGGATGACTCCTCCCTGATACCTGGGGACAATCAGACCTGTGGGGTCCTTGGTGCTCTCTGACTCTGGCCGTTTGCTTGTAGATGTTCTGTACCAAATTAGACAATGTCATCGGTGTTAGGCATCTGATGATGTTACCTAGTTGGGTAATGAAATGTCTGCAAGAAAACAAGTAAGCTCAGAGAGTACTAAGGACTCCACAGTCGTCGTCGTCGTTCTCCTCCTCCTCCTCCTCCTCCTCCCCCCCCTCCACTCCACAAAGCCCATTCCTTCTAGCATTGATGTTACCTAGTTGGGTAATGAAATATCTGCAAGAAAACAACCAAGCTCAAAGAGCACTAAGGACTCCACAGTTGTCCTCCTCCTCCTCCATTCCACAAAGCCCACTCCCTTCTAGCACTGATGATGTTACCTAGTTGGGTAATGAAATGTCAGCAAGAAAATAACCAAGCCCAGAGAACACCAAGGACCCCACAGTCGTCGTCGTTGTTGTCCTCCTTCTTCTCCTCCTCTCCCACTCCACAAAGCCCACTCCCTTCTAACACTGATGATGTTACCTAGTTCGCTCATAAAACGCCTGCAGAAGAATAGCCAAGCCCAGAGAGCACCAAAGACCCCAGAGTTCAACCTGGAGCTACAACTATTATCTTCTATCAGTACAGTTAGACTCACATGATTCTGTTATACCCTTTTAAGTTCTTTTTGTAAAATCGATTTCCTGATCTGCACAACCTTGAAGGGCTGGCAGCTGACAAAGATCCCAAAAGTCAGAAACAGGTTCTGTTGTTTTAAGAATTCAGGGCTGGGAAGGGCAGAAGGTTGCAGAAGTGGGCCTGTCAACTTGCCAAAGATTATACCAACGCTCTTCCCAATTCAAAGTGACGTTCCTACTGGTTTCGCTACCGGCTTCCTTGCTCTACCCATCTCTTTTTTTTTGTTTTACATTTTTAAAGATGTTGAGTTTGTTTTTTTTAAAAAAATTAAACTTCCAGCATCCTCTTTAACTCCAAAGAGGCCCCTGGATTTCGGATTATAAAATCCTAAGCATTCCAAGTGCGGTGCTTGCTTTGAGGTACAGCGTGCCCACCTGCCCCAATCAAAAAGACAAAAGAGAAAGGGGGTTGGCAGAAACGTTCCTGAGGATTTACAAGGCACATTTTCCCATCCTTTGTTGCTGCCCAATTGGTATGCTGCGACTTGCCACATCCACGGCAGCAGCCACGTTGTGAATGGCGAAGCCCCCCAGGGGCCTTCATTGTGTGAAAGCACCTGCAACATGCTGTTAAAATTCTTATAGTGTTTAAATAAAACAACTAGACACAAGGACAGGTTTCCCCCCCCCCATGCCATCATTCTGCTAAACAATTAATTCCCACAACACCGTCAATCTACTAGTAGCGCTGTATTACCATTATCCTCATCCTTCCTATTGCCTTATCTTCTTATGACTATAACTTTGTGGCTTGTATCTTACGATTTATATCAATTGTTTTATTTAGTATCCCAGTATGATTTTATGTCGATTGCTTATTTAGTGTCCTACAACCATCACTGAGTGTTGTATCTTATGACTTATGATGAATGTTTTTTTATGATGATCATCATCATGATTTATCCCATGTGGCTTGTGGGCCAGAGACAAATTCCTTGTGTGTGTCTAATCACACGTGGCCAATCAAGAATTCTATCTCCATTCTGTTTTCATTGCTCTCGACGCTAAGAGCCCCTCAGCTTTGGAGTTTTATTCTCCTTCATTTGCACCTTGTGAAGACTGTAAAAACAAAAAAGGAATCTAGTTGCCACTGATTGCAGGACTACTTCAAGATTTCTTTCGCACAGGCAGGGCTCCAGTTAGGACCATTAGGGAGGCCTGCCCATCACGGCTGTAACTCGTAATGGTTGTTAAGCAGGTCGTCCTTGGGACCCATGTGATTTTTATGTTGCAAAGGTCGTAACTGTGGAAAAAGGTCGTCAGTCATCTTTTTCAGTCCCGTGGTCACTTTGAAATGTTACCGATGGTTGTAAGTAAAGGACTACCTCGACTCACCTGTAAATATGGACAAATCTTTTGTCAATAAATGCCAGCATGTTTCCTAATTGAGGAAACAGGGAAGTGATATAGAATTGGGAGTAAAGGCCTTCCAAATCAGGCTTCCCTTGAAAGGCAGACTTTAAGACAGGGGTGTCAAACTCGCCACGTCACACGACGTGTTGCGATATATCGCAAATTTTTCCCCATTGCCGGAGCTGGGGCGGGCGCGGTTTCGGCATGACGCATCCGGCCCGTGGGCCGGCAGTTTGACACTCCTGCTCTAAGAGGTTGAGAGCGTTTCCATCAGAGGTTGAGGTGGAACGAGGCTGGGTGAAAAAAAAAAAAAAACCTTGGAGGAAAGGCCGAAAAAACACGGGGACGGATAAAGGCGGCTTCTGCAGAACTGACGTACCATGATTGATTCTTCCTTCTTGGTGGTGGTGCTCAAGATTTTAGAGATGTGTCTGGCCTGCGACTCAGTCATCCTTGTGAGTTGTGCCCCAGTCAACAGGAATCCCATGCTCATCAATTGTTCCAGCAAAGGCAAGTAGGGTGGTAGCTGTCCAGCCACCTGATGGGTGGCTTCGAGAAGGATCAGGCAGGTGGCCTGGTACAGACCCACCAAGCGAGGTTTTTCTAAGAGAGGGAGGAAGAAAAAGTGGAATTAATAACTCTAGGGCATCTTCCAAT